GGAAACCTAGAATGAAGGAAGCAAAGGGCAGCATTGCCTAACTCTGCTAAAGCAGACCTGAACTCCTTCGGATTATGAGGCCTGCTGATTCCATCAGAAGGATCAAAAAGAGAACTTTGCCCTCAACACACCCTCCAGACCAGTCACCTTTCCAAGCTTATTTCAGATGAGGAAATGAAAGAGCAGCTTGGCTTTCTCACTACAGATGCTCTGATCTTCTGGAGTTGAGTCACGTCTTCCCAGACTCACTTCCTCTCCTGCAATAGGAGCATCTCCCTGGAGAACCAGGCCTGCTTCGGCTCATATTGCACACCAGGGGGCGGTAGTGCCCCACAGAACCCCATTAGCCATGGGGGGAGGGGCAGGAAAATGAAACCAGGATTTCCTGATGGGATTTCAATTCTCAGGCTGAGGTTTCTCTTGGTTAGTGGCTTGAAAATCCATCGAGATGGTCCCCTGTCAGTTCCACTCCTGGAGAAGTTACTTTTCTCTCCAGAAAACCTAGGCTGAGTTCACTAGAGTTCTCCTTTCTTGACCATACAGCTAACTGAATTCTTAGGAAACCACAAGGTGACCTATTCAACTTTTCTCGAGAAAATGTTTGGTGATAAAGTGATTTCTTGGTTTTACTTTGGGGGTGGCAAAGATACAGTCCTTGTTCTGTGGAAATAATTCTTGGTTGTGTAGCCTGCATCAGATTAACTTTGTTGGCTTTAACAAACCATGGTAGCTTATCAATAATGGGTGAACTGTTGTATACTGTTCCACTCTGTCTTTAATGTGGCTAATAAATAATTCTTTATGGGGGTCTGTGCATGTTAGTTTTGAGTTTTGAAGCTACAAACACTTGTCAGAGTTGGAGATTTTGCCAAAAAAACAAAAACAAAAACAAAAACCTTCCTCCCTTGAAAATCTGAATCTCTTTGAGAGATTTGAACATATTATCTTGATGGGTTTGAACATATTATCTTGATGGGTTTATGATTTTCTCATCATTTAAATATTATTTGTGTAATACACACTCAAGGAAATCTACAAGGTCAAACAACAGAGTAGCACTTTGATCCCCAAAGCTATGTACATTCAGGAGAAGTTTCCTGCTCGTATTAGGTGTATGTCCTTTTGTGTTTATATATGTATTTATTTATTAATATATCATATTTTTCAGTGCCCATCTTGTTGAAAAGCGACTCTGGGTGGTTTACAAAGGGGGTAAAATCATTTAAAATACAATATAAAAACAATCCTACAAATAATAAATGAATTCCAAGAATGATGGAGTTGGAGAATAACTCAGGAGTGACAGAAGGGCACCAGCCACCCCCAGGATTCATGAAAACTCTCATCGCCTCATGGAAGCTGCTGGAGCCAGGTCTTAAGTCCTTTCCAGAAAACTGGGAGGGTAGGGGCCCACCACACCTCTGGGGGAGAATACTCCAAAGGGTGGGGCAATGGCACAGAAGTCTCTCCTCTTGGGCCCCAACAGCTGACATTCTCTTGCTGATGGCACCCACAACCTGCCCCCTCCGCCTGACGGTTGGGATGGGTTTATGTTATGGGGGTGAGACGGTCCCTCATGTAAACTCGAACCATGGCATGTACTGCTTGGAAGGTGATAACCAACACCTTGAATTGAACCCGGAAGCAAACCAGTACCCAATGCAGCTCATGCAGTAAAGGTGTTATGTGAGCCATCCTAGGGGTACCCAAGATTGTTCATGCGGCCACATTTTGAACCAGCTGTAGCTTCTGGATACTCTTCAAGGGTATTCTCATGATATGGGCATTGCAGAAGTCTAACTGAGAGATAAGCAGGGCATGAATGACTGAACAGAGAGCCTCCCGCTCCAAGAAGGAGCATAACTGGCACACTACATGAAGGTGGGCAAAGGATCTCCTAGCCCCAACTGCCACTTGCTCCTTGAGCAGGAGTCATGAGTCCAGGACGACCCCCAGATTGTGCGCTGGCTCTGTCTGGGACACTGCAACCCCCTCCAAAACAAAAAATGGTAATATCCCAGATATAGAGGGACCTCCAAAATAAACTGGCTGCTTCACATAGTTCTTAAGGATTAAAACAATGCTGTCTAGACTGGTATTGGAGCTTGTTGAGCATGACAAAAGATGTCTAAGATGTAGTTTGAACGAACTCTAGATGGTCAAAGCACCATGTTCTTGGTCGTAAAGTGATGTCTTGGGTTTTCCTTCGGGCTCACAAAGATGCAATCTTTGTCTGTGGAAAGCATTCTTGGTTGCATAGCCTGCATCAGATTAGCTCTAGTTTCTTTAACAAACAATGGCTAAGGGAAAGTAGCTTATCATAATGAGGAAATTGTCATAGCCCCCCCCCCCCTTTTTGGGTTTTAAAAAAATTTTTTTA